GCTAATCATTTCACTGGCAGAAACATTTACAATTTTTGGAAATATAGGGCGGAAGTGGTGTAGTGGCAAGTGGCACGCTTACCACGCGAGCGGTCCGGGGATCAAATCCTGGGTCGTGAGTCGCCCGGGCCAACCAAGCCTTCCATCCCTCCGGGGTCGGTTAATTGGTACCAGACTTGTCTGGGAGGATAAAAACACTGACTTGTACATCGGCTGGCCCCCGCAAGTCATTGTATAGGCCACATCGCATTCAAACGCCACTACGAATGTACAAATGGAAGTAGAATGCGTGCCGCATCCCAAAAAGGGATTGATCAACGGCAAATGCTTTATCCTTTTATGCTTATGCCAAAATTATACAGGTGCAGGTCTGCACCGAAATCACAAATGACAGCATAAGCTCTCAGTGTTTGCCAAAGCTCTCCAATAGATTATGACTTGAAATCATTCCCGCAGGCGGTGGTTTCATCAGCGTGTGGGAGGATGAGTGCTCCAACATCGGGGATTCCTCGATAGAGGTTGTAATTTGGTAGAACTGGCAGCGTACTTCGAGTGGAAAAGTCCATTAGTGTAAGCAATCTCGGGAGCATTTGTGAGGCTTGTGAATTTTCATGAAATAAACTTCAGAAATTCTGCTGCCTCTTAGGATGGGAAGAAAATCTGAGAGTAGGAAGTGGAGACCTGGAGCCGGACTGAATTTTCGGACTCCACCTAAAGAGGGGGGGGGGGCGTTTCAGCTCGACTCTTCGACAGCATGCTGGGCCTAGTTGGAGGTTGCTTGGTACCGTACACCTATAGCTCTCATTGGTACAAGTGTTCACCCAAAGCTGCAGCTCAAAAACAGGAACAGATCTGTACGCGCTTAATAGCTTCCAAGGAAGTCTAGCACTGCCTCATCCTCAAAACCCTTTCAAAACCCCTCACCGTCCTTGCTACGTTCTCGTGTTTATTGAATGCGTATTAGTAGGAGTGGACCTAAGCCCCGTTATCCGTTGACCAGGGAATTCTGCACTACGGACGGCACAACACAAATAACGAAGCTCCCAATAAAATCTGCAAACAGTGTATCCAGTGGTAGCTGATAGTTGATAATTGGTAGTCGTAATTAGCGACAATCAACAAAGACGCCTGTAGCCGGTTTATCATTTCACTGGCAAAAAGCTAGTACATTTTATGAAGGTCGTCGTAACTTGTGCTGTAGAGTCTGTAGTGGACACGACTTACACAAAGAGTTCGCAGTTGAAGGGTCAATAGTACTTTTTGAGGCTTCGTATAACATAAAACGGAGGAGTGTGGGTGTCCAAAAATCCCTATGCCCAAAACAAACACTCAGTCTAGGTACGGAGCCCTTTTGACGCTCACCACTCTCCGATGGCCTTTGCTCTCTGTCAACCATTTCTTCCGTGTCCACCACAAGTCACCAGACAGCTGTTGTTTAGATCATTGGCTGGAAGACACATAGTTTATAGTGTCATGAAAAATCACTTGGATCGTGTTTCACAGCTCTAACTAGTCAACAGCATCGCTGTGCTTACATCTTACTACGTCCTCCAGAAATCCACAGTAAAGCTGCTATTTACCTTCATTTTCTATGCAGCAGTGCATCATTGCCCAGTACTTTTTAGCTGGGTATTTAGGGATGTTTTAAGGGAATCTATTGTTCCGAACTCACAGAAATCTTCTTGCACTGCTTTGTACCAACTTTCTAACCTTCTTCAACTTTCTTCTTTGCTATTCAGCATGAAACTACGAAACTGCACCCCTAAACTATGTTTGCTTCACTTTTTTAAACTTCTACTCGGCTTCATAGGGAAAACTGACCACGGTGTTCATAGCCTTGGGGCAGAACCAACTGTCTATTGCAACAACACTAACGAGGGCGGATCGTCCTAGACCATCTTCTTTGGATTTGTTCTTTTCTTAGCCCATTT